CCTTCTGCCTGCCCCAAAACACTGGCTCCTGCTCTAGATGCCCGTGAGCCATACCACTGGGACCACAGGCCCGGGCCGGACTCTGGCCCCGTCCGTGCCCACCTCATCCCGACTCCCGGCGTGGACCACACTAGGCACCGAGGCACCGGGGGCCACGTCACGGGCCAGCCCCGGCCTGCACCCTCCCGCTGCTCACGTGACACACGACGCTCGCGTTCACCCGGGGCCACGGCGCACCCTACAGCCACCCGTCCCCTCCCACCTCTGAAATGCCTGGCCGCGGGGTCCCGACCTCAGACCGGCCTCTCCCTGCGCCCCGCCTGCTCTCCTCGTGCCACGTCTTGCTGACTGCCACTGCCTGGATCCGCGGCTCCCGCCGCCACATACTCTGATGGTTTGCCCTGTGAGGGTGGGGACGCGTCTGCCTGCCTTCCCTCGTGCCCGCGGCCGGCCCACAGCCAGGAACACACAGATGTGTGAGTGGGTGGGGGGCCAGGCAGGACGTGCAGGGCAGGGGAGGGTGGCTCCCGAGGGGCTTGCCCGGCCTGCACCGTGAGGGACCCTCTGCAGGGAGCCGCCACAGGGAGCAGGTGGGCTGGGGGAGCGGGCCCGGGGAAGCAGAGGGCACGGACGCCGGGCCTCTTGCCGTCCTGCTTTGCCCCGTGTCCGGGAAGAGGCCCACCTAATGGCCTAGGTCACCGACTGAGTCCTGGGACCGGTGCGGAGTCCTCGATAGGCCCTGGGGCTTCATGACGGGCTCTCTGCCCACCATGGGTGATTCTAACACAGGAACACGGTGTGGGGGATTTAAAGAACTTCCTCCCAGATAATCCACAGGCCCGTGTGTATGCATTCGGACACATCTGGTGCCTAAGTCCAAGTGGAAGGAGGCTCTGCTAAGAGACTAGATTTCTCTTTTCGAAATCAGAGCCAATACTGTCTACGTTAAAAGCATAAATCACCTAAATATTGTGACTTTGCTCATTAGCCAGCAACCAAAGACCGAAATAGAAAGAAAAGGTAGGATCCTCATGCATTCCTGGGTGGGCGCTAAGCATGTGCTTCTGGACAGGAAAGCGGTTCCGGAAACAGCTCCCGAGGAACCGTGGCCGGCTCTCAGCACAGCTCAATTTCACTTGTCCCCAGCCACCTCCTCGCCTGTGGCTCACTCGGGCCTCCCGTGGTCTGGGGCCACCATCACCTCGGCAAGGCCACAAACGTCCGGGCGGAGCGGGCGCGGATGCGCGAAGGGCCACCTTGCTTTTCCAATCAGCGCAGCTGCCGAGAGGTGGGCTGGTGGGCCCGCGGGCGTGGGGAAGGCACCGCTGCTCCCCACACGGGGTCTCACCCCTCCCGCGCGCTGCCAGGCGCCACGCGGCCATCCGACCAGGCTCCCTTTCCAGGGGCCGGCCGTCAGAAGGCCGAGACCCACACCCCTCAGCGTCCACGGTGCGCGTCGGCCGAGCCGAGCGGCCCTGCACCTCAGCGCCCACGCGGGTCTTCTCGCACACGGCTTAGAAGACTCCCTTTGAAGAGGGAGGGAACTCACACGGTGGTGTTCACGTGCCCGATCAGGGTTCTGTTAGCAACAAGATAACGGCCAACTGTACTAGGTCTGGAACAGTCAGACTGACGACAGGATGCCTGGTTACCAGCACAATCACCGGGACTCTCAAAACGGATCCCGAGCGGAGAGAAGGTAGCCGGTTAGGTGTCCCTGGAGCGATGGGAATGGGTTTCGAAACAGCGTGTAGCGGGGAAGCAAAAGGAAGCGACGATTTAGGGCCTCGCCGGCGTCACTCACGCGCACACGCTCACGCACTGCCGACACAGGCTCTGCCACCACAAAAGACACACGGAGCTCACTCGGACGGCTGCATCGTGGCGGGGGAGGAGCAGGTGTGAGGACGACGCAAACAGGACGGGGGGCTTCGGGGGCCTGAGTGAGGAGGGGCAACCCCACACGGACCCGGGCCCAGGAGGCACCGCTGCAGGGCCAGCCACTAGGAGAGCTCCAGGCCCTCCTCCCTGAAGACCCCGCATACGCCGCATCTCTCCTTCACCATCCGTCCTAAACCGAGTGTGAAACTAGCTCCCAGACCTGGCCGGTTCCCCTGCCGGAGCGTCCGGGCCCGCCTCTCCCCGCCCAACTTCACGGTCAGAAGACAACACACAAGTGCAAAAGGCCCCTTGGTGGCGGCTCAGCTGACACGGGCCTCTGGCGGCAGGCAAGGGAGCAGGGGCTGAGCTGGGACGAGCCCCCTGCTAAGAGTGGGGACAGCCGCGGGGGCCATTCAGTGCGCTCGCCTGGGACAGAGTAGACACTGCCGTCCACTGTGGGGCCGTCCAGCCGGCCCCAGGGACCGTGAGGTTGGGGGCTTTACTGGTGCTGTGCCTCGGTGGCACCGACGGGGCCCACAGGATCCTCTCCCGTACTGGAGATGTTCCAGGCAGCCGAGGTGCCGCCCTGCCTGTCGCGCCGCATTGGCCTTTTTTCACGCAGCCTCCTTGCTCAGCTCGTCCCTGAGGCCACTGGCCACCTCCCCACTGTCCGCATCCTGGAAGGCTCCTTTCTGAAGCTCCCCTCTCTGGACATGCTCTGCCCGGGTTCCCACCTTTTCTCGCCCCGCCGGTCCCCAAGCCCTCCACCAGCAACCTGTCCTCCTGCACCTGCAGTCCTGCCCTTGGAGCTAGCGGCTCAGACCGCCACCCTCTGCCCGAGTTCCACTCCACGACCGCCGGGACCGGGGCCCTGGGCACACTGCAGTCCACACACGAACACCCCGCGACTGAGGGACAGAGCACACAGCACGCCCTTCTCCACAGGGAGCTGGGGAACCTCCCTCCCGTTTTGGCCAACTGTCCCCACACATCTTACGGTGTCACCTCCTACAGCGTACCCTAAGCCACGACGGCTGGGCTTTGAAAAACCGACTTGAGTAGCAAGGACAAACCCTGCTGTGTAAACAGAGAACAGAAGTCCCTCTGCGGGGTGATGGCTCTTGTGACAGAACAGGCTGGGGTGGGAGGGTCTCTGGGGCACATCTGGCGCCAGCTCTCTTGGGGTTCCCAGGGGGTCTTGGGGAGCAGAGCTCCCGGCAGCCAGAGCACCTGGCCGGGCCGTGGACCAGACCCACCATGTGGCCAGAAGGACAAGCAGCTCTGGTGTCGTTCTGAGCCCACCAGGCCCCGGCTCCCCCTCCGGGTGGGAGAAGCGAGCCCCCAGCCAGCACCGGCAGCAAGGTCTGGGGAGCAGGGCAGGAGGGAGCCCAACAAGACGCCGGCACAAGCCCTCAGCCACACTGCTCCAGGGTGTTCTGGATGCTTCCACGTGGGGAGCAAATCCCACTGGGGGCTGGTTTCTGTGACTGGACTCACACAACGGGACCCTGACGCCCAGGGGGGCGGTGTTACAAGCGGGGCTCGAGGCAGTCACGTCACGAGGGTTGCGCGTTGGTGGGCGTGGCCAGTGCCTTTGGAAAACCCTGCCAGGCTCCCTCCCCTCGGACCCCAGGGAGGAGGCAGCGAGACCTGTGATTTGAAAGAGCCTGCGCCCGCCGTGTGGCATCTCGATCCCAGCCCTCCCGCTGCCGGCCTGTAAGCGACAGACTCTGGCCTCTGTCTGTGGTGCCTGGTTACAGCAGCCGGAGCGGACAAGGCAGGGGCGGTGGCCCCTCGACCTCGCTCTGCGTGTCCTCCTGGAGAAAGGGTGTCTGCAAAGGCCTCCGCTCAGCTCCTCCTCGCCCTTCCTGGCTCGGCCACGGCTGCAGGTGGGGAAGGTCTCTGCCCGGAACCGGCGAGGCGGCACCCGTGTCGTGGGGCGCTCGCCCTGGAATCTCACGCACCTCCTCATGTCCCCTTGTTCCCACCGTTCCAACACTGTCCCTGCCACCCCTCAGAGGGTCCGGGCAGCCGTGGCTCGCCCATGATTGCCTTATGATGCTCTCCTCCCTTTTTCGCACTTTCCCCGGAAGCTTCTGCACGGCAGGAACGCTCCCTGGACTTTCTCATTCTTCTCCCTGTTGTCCAGGTCCTGCCCCTGTTCTGCTCTGCTTCCTAGGGGATGGAGCCCACCTCCCCTCCAGCCTGGGACTCTCTACTGTCTGACGTGGCTTGAGTGTTCTGGGTCTCCTCCATGCTGGCTGCACTTGTCCACGTTACGTGGACGTGGTAGCTCTCTTTATGGGTAACGACAGCTGCAGTTTTCTTCACAGTGTCCCCGATCTGTCCCAGAAACCTGTCCTCTGAGCTGCCCTGTTTCAGGATCTTTCTCCCACTAAGCGCTTCCCTGGGGGGGGAGGGGGGGAGGATAATCCTTGGTCATCTATTCATAAGACTGAGGACCTAAGAACCACTGGGAGCTCCGGGCACACGGTGGGCTCACGAACTGGTGGCTCCCCGTTGGGATCCCATCAGCTTCCGTAGGGCCGGTCATTCTCTGAGGAGGTGTCGGCAATGCCTGCCTGGGGCAGGGGAGGCCTCTCAGAACCTCTGGCCAGCCCCAGATGTGACCCCTCTCCGCCCTCTGTCCCGGGCCCAGGTCTCTGCAGTGGCCAAGCCGAGCCCCCCCAAGTTGGGGGTGTCCACCCCCAGCCCTAGCTCCGGAAGGCACTTTCTGGCACCTGCCGTCCCCCTGCCGTCCAGCCCCCAGGCTCTCCCGTGCTGCTGGCTCCTATGTCCCCAGAACAAGGGTTCGCGTCGTCCGCAAGCCTTGTTACTACAGGGCAATGGGGCTCAGGGAGTAATATGACTGGCCGCCCTAGGACGGGACCCCGATCTCCTCCTGGCCACCAGCTCCACCCCCTCCAAAGACTAAAGCGCTTCATTGGTGTCAGGTACCTCAACGCCTACAGCATTTCTAGCACAGAAGACACGCTCCCCGAGGGAAGAAACGACTGCACACGTGAAGCAGGGCACACACCCACGCGCGCACGGAGGGAGTGACCGGCCACAACGTGGTGAGATCGCGCAGCACAGCCTGAGCAGAGCCTTCGGTGACAGGCGGGAGGAGGCCGCCCCCGCGTCCCTCCAGGTTCAAGGTGGTTGGGAGGCTGGGGTCAAGGTGCCCCGGACAGGTCATGACGGGGGTGGGGTCTGCGCCCAGGAGCCCGAGGCTCCGGAGGCTCCGGACCTGCCTGTGCCGGAGGTCCCTGCTCAGACCCCCCCACCTCCTGGGGCGTTGATGGCAGCAAGTCCCTTCGCTCAAGCCCACCAGCGCGGAAGCCCCGCACCCCGCGGGGAGCCCGCGTGGGGCTGCCCCGGCCTCCCGGACTCCGGGCTCACTGCCGGAGAGGGCTGGCAGCAGGTCCGCGGCTGGAGTATCCCCCGATCTTCGCCAGTGTCTACGCCCTGCCACGGAACGTTCCGCAAGACCGGCGGTTCTCGCCCGCCGCGGCCGCAGCACCCGCGGCCCAGGCACGAAACCAGCAGCCTCCGCCCACCCTCCCCTCAGTACCTGGTGCAGGCCCCGCGCAGGCGCAGGACACGCCCGGTGGGCGGCGCTCAAGGGGCGGGGCCAGCGAGCGCGGGCGGTAAAGGTAAAGAAGGCCTTGAAATACCTAGAAGTTTCTTACTGTCCAGTTTCTGCCTGTTGAGGGGGTTCGTGCCATAGAGCAGGGCGTGCGCCTCCGAATGCACCGTCTGCAGCTCCTCCAGGGTGGCCTTCCGTCCGCGGATGCACTGCGGGGACAGAAGGAACAGGTGCGCACGTCTCCCTGTGCCTTCAGGGCTTCGTGTCTACAGAAGGCAGTTCCACGAACACCGTCACCCCGGAGGAAACTGAATTTTATACGTGCACGGGCACACGGTTATTTGGTCCTCGCAAAACAAAAAGTAAACAGCACCCAACACAACGTTTAAAAAATATTTGAAAAATGTTTTGGAGGCTTTACGCGTTAATTATAACTTTGAAAACGTTTAGAAAGATAATTCCAGCCTTCGACGCTTTAACCTTCCCTGTCACCCACATGATTTGGCATCAAATTGCCACTTTGCCTTCTAACTGCTGGGGCCCCTGTCGGGGATGGGGGGTGGGGCTTGCCACAAGCTGTGGGAGCTGCTCCTCTAGCGCCCATGCGGGGGGCGGGGCACCAGGCCCCTGCACGAGAAAGACACCCTTCCTGCCATCCTCGCTGGGCCCTTCGGCTACCTTCACTCATCACCTGCCTGTCCCTCTGCTTTTCCTTTGGTCTGGAAATTCCTCAAATCAAGACTCCACAGCGATGTCCACGTTTTCCCCCAGAAATTAACATAAAATTCACCGTTCTTTACAGGAGCTCCGCTTACTTAAATTTTTAAGAGGAGGGCAGTTTATGGAGCGAGATTAAAGTTCACGTTTCTGAGGGCGACAGTCCCACGGGCGTCTACACGACCCTGGGGGCCTTGGTGGGGCTCCTGAGCGCAAGGCAGGCCTGGGGCTGCTCCTGCTGGCTGTGACAGCTTCCTGAGGGACGCCGTGGACGCGGGAGATGAAGGGAGCGGAGCGGGCAGGTGCAGGCCGGCGGCCCCACGTCTGCCAGCCGGGCCTCCCCGCGTGGACGGGGCCGTGAGCCCGCGCCCTTCGCTGCCCAGCAGAGGCCGACGCGGCAGCACAGGGAGGGGAGCCCGGCCCTGGGGGCTCCCTCAGTTGTCCACTGGATCGGGGGGCCCTGACCAGGAGGTTCTGGTCTCCAAGTGGCCGGGGACCTTGGGAAGTCCGGGCACTGCCAGTCCCTCTAACCTCTGTTGTCAAGGGCTGACACCCACCACCCGTGTGCAGCACCTGGGCCCTGCGCTCTGCCCTGGGGGCCCGTGTGGGAGCCTGTGGAGGCAGGGACGCCATATCCCTCGGGGCTGCGTGAAGCAGGTGGTGTACCCTGAGGTCAGTGTCTCCGCACGTCAGGGACACCGGGCTCCGCGTCCCGCGTGTCACTGTGTGTTTCGCACGGGCCTCCTCCCAGCCGTCCTGCCGACTCAGGTCTGACGCCACGTCTGACAGACCCCCTCCTCCCTGGTGTCCACGTCCACAGGTCCAAGGATGCCCCACAGCCACCGGCCACCAAGTGGCAGCACTCCGCCTCGGGGCAGACGAGGGTCCCATTCTCCCCACGTGTTCTGTCTCATGGTCTTATCCCTACCGATCCTGTGCAATCTTCTATCTGAAAAGCCCCCAGAGGCCCCTGACTGAGGGGACCCTCCAGGAGAGGCCAGAGGGTAAAGAGCAGTCACGGGGAGCAGTCCTTTGAAGGAGGAGCCGGGGCCCTGGTCCCACGAGGGACGCCGACCAGGACACCAGGGCATTGGAAGATCTCCTCGGAGGGGTGCCTGCCAGGGCACTGCTGCCCCCCGGTGGTGCAGCCTCCAGCCTGACCCCAGAGCAGGTGCCGTCCTCCGTCCTGCCCAACCAGGCAGGGTCACGTCCTCCCCAGAGGGCACCGTGGGGCTCTCGTGCCCCTTTCCCCTCCCAAAATCCTGTATCACCAGACGAATTTAAATTCCCAAATATTGTAGCTTCTGAAGGAGAACAGATGGACACACAGAGGGGGTGCTGCTGCCCCCACGGCCCTGACGTGCCTGCTCTAGGGCTCTTGCCTGGGTCACTGTGCAGGGAAGTACGTGCCACCCGCATCCCGTCCTTGCTTTTGCGGGATGGACATAGGTCCCCACTTGATGGGCATATGGGGGGCCGGCCGCCATTGTCCTGCAGTAGGGGGACACAGGGGAGGCTAGGGGACAGGAGAACGGAGGAAACGGGGGACACGGGGACAGACAGGGATAGAGGAGACGGGGACAGAGGGGAAAGGGGGGACAGAGGGGGCGGGGATAGAGGGAGCAGGGGGACAGGGATGGA